ATTAATGTAATTATATTTTATAATGTGATTTTTATTAATTTTTAAATAATTAAATTTTTTAAATTTAATTATTTTTTTTTTAAAAAAAAAAAATGTAGTATTTTTTATTTTATTATTTTTCTGTTAATTTCTATTTTTTTTAATTTAAAGTTAATGTTTTATCGGATTTAATTTAATTTAATTTTTTTTAAAACGTTTGTAATTTACACCGGTATAAAATACATATCTAGCGCCAGGCCCTGCATACAAGTTCCGTTTGAAATACAAATTTCATTACAAATATTTGAAAGTTTTTTAAAAAAAAATGAAATGCGAAAAAAAAAAAAATAAATAATCGATTGATAAGATGATTGATTTTGGTATTCGAAATCAATTTCGATATCCGAATATTAATTATGTATTTTCGAATATTTGAATTTTATTTATTTACAAACAAATATTCGAATATACTATTATATTCCAATTAAAAACATCATTATGCATTGCATGAATGTTTGTCATCACGTGACGTTATGAGAAATTACTATATATGTGAGTTTTTTATTTTACTTTTTTTTTGCATGTGATTAACTTCCTCTTTTTAATCAAATACTGCGGGGAAACCAAAATTATTTATTCCATTATTTTTTTTTTTAAAAAAAAAATGTCAAAGCTTAGTAAAGATATTCTTTATTTGATATTTGAAGAATTACAAGGCGATATAAACTCCCTCTTTTCATGCCTATTAGTCAATAGACTTTGGTATGAGGTTGTGGTTCCGATCTTATGGAAGGATCCTTGGTACCCTACAAATGTATCTAAAAGTAATCGAATTATAAATTTATTGTACAACATCTTTACCTTGATTTTATTCGACAATAGTGAAGAATTTTTAACCAGTAACGTCTAATTCTCACGCCGACCACTTTTATTTGATTATCCGTCATTTTGCAGAAGTATTAATGCAAGTGCTATAAACAAGATGTCTTTAATCTACTCTTCTTCAGCCAGTGATCAATTTTATTTTCAACAAAAAATTTATGGTCTTATTATGAGGAAATGCCCAAGGTTAAAATATTTGGATATGAGATCACTTCAACACCAGATATTTTTATTTCCAGAAGCAACAAATCTTCTCCAATCGTTGTGTGTATTAAAATGTGATACGACCATGGAATCCGCATAGTTTTATGGAATAGCACGGATCTGTCAATCTATACAAAGGTTGTTTATTGATAATTCAAGCTCAAAAGGCAATGATGGACTTGTTTTTTTGATTGAAGCTCAAAGAAATTTAAAATATTTTGAGTGGTATGATGATTTAGACGTTGATTATTCGAATGCATTAGATGATTATTTTATGAAAATTTCTTCGGCCTTAAAGAAAAATGCAGACACCCTTATTTATTTTATAAACAGCATTGAATATTTTGCCAACAAATTTTCAAAAGTACTTCCAGAATTATATAATTTAAAGGTATTAATACTAAACATCGTTACAGATGTCCTTGAATATCATTTGAAAACTTCGAGATTTCAACATCTTGAAGTCCTTCAAATAGATTATATTATGATTAATACGGTTAATTGCATGATTAGAAACAGCGGAGGACGTCTCAAACTAATTTTTATCTGTGAACCTGAAATCTTTGACCATGACGAATCCCTTACATTTATTCGTACCGTTCGTGAAAATTGTTTTTTAATTGAATATCTATCACCCGTGTTCATCACATCAGACGATCATATCATTGAACTTGAACATTTGCTGATGACTTGCCAAAAGTTGAAGCTATTAATATTAGCTAAGTATAACAACTATTATTTGGATGAAGATATAACATATGAAAAAAGAATGATGGCGTCGGGAGAAAAAATATTAAACGTATTAATTAACTCCGCTCCTATTAGTCTAAATGTAATTGGAACGATTTATGATTGTAAATTTTCAATTAATATCCTAGGAAAATTTTTCGAGAATTGGAAAGGTCGTCCGGCTCTTTCTTTTATTACATCAAAATATGGATACGACAATGAAGAATATACGAAATTAATTGATAAATACAAGGATAATGTTGTGATTAATGAATTTATATATAGTTATATGGAAAGAATTGTTGACTATTTTAGATCATAGATTGGGAGTTATATTATAATTTTTACGATTAATAAAATATTCAAGATCACGTTATATATGTCATTGGTTTTGCATTACATAATTACTTTCTTTTTTTTCTGGAGATTAAAAATCATCTCTCATACCAAGAAGTATAATTAATTGCATCCGATTTTCTAGTATCGATACAAACATTATAAACAATTGGTGATGCTTACGATCTCTTTCTTTTGCGAGACAAGTAATTAACAGTTTATAAGTGATTGAATTATTATGAAATTGATACGTTCACGATTTCTTTGTAAAAAGCTGGGATTAATCTTGCGCTTTAATATAGTTAAGATCTTATACGTACCATTGAATGAAACACAATTTTTTTGCATAACATTCATATTACCGTCAGAAATGATAAATTTATTTTTGTTGCATACCTTT